CTATCTATCTATCTATCTATCTATCTATCTATCTATCTATCTATCTACCGTGTTTCTCATATAATAAGGCTGGGTCTTATTTCTTTTTGAGCCCCGAAAAAATGGCTAGGCCGTCTTTTCGGGGGTGACTTAATTCCCGCCCCTTGCATCTTCGGGCGGGCGGTGACAGCTTGGATGTTGACCTCGGCATTGGTGGGGCACTTCGTATCGGGGTCAACGCAGGCAGCACCATATCTGGGTGTGCAACAAAAGTACTTCCTAACGGCAAGCCCCCCCACCATTCCCCCCCATTTCGCATGTTTTAATATAGGCCTTAATTTGGGGGGAGGGGCTTAATTTCATTTCATGCCTATAAAACATGCTGGGACTTCCTATTGGGGGAGGCCGTATTGTTGGAGAAAAAGGGTATCTATATCTATCTATATCTATATCTATATCTATATCTATATCTATATCTATCTATCTATCTATCTATCTATATATATATATATAATGATATATATATGATATATATATCATCAGAAGCCTGATGATGGCAGATGAGATTCTGCCGAAACGTCACTACAACTTTAAAAGCACAACTATAATGACGTGGGATAATACCTGAACAAAGCTGAATACCATACACACACACATATACTATATATATATAGATACACACACAACATTTCTCCTAAAAATACAGCTAGTCCTTGCTTAGTGATGATAATTGGGACAGGAATTTCCACTGCTAAGCAATGCAGCCATAAAGTGTAACATTATGTAACTGCATCACTTAGCAAAGGCAATCCCGTCAATCTCCATTGCCGTTTTTAAACAAGGATCGTCAGTCACAAAGCGAGGAGTCTGAATTGCATCCACTTTGTTTCAACTTGGAGTTACAATTGCCATACGGTATAAGTAGCCTTAATATCAAAATACTATCTTTGCTAAGCAGCACTAAGCTTGGTGGTACTTTGCGCCTGTGGGGGATCTTAATATATGTATATAGATGCTAAGGAGGCAATGAGACTTGGTTTAAAAAAATTAATTCATGATTCAGAAACTGACTTTAGTAACCATACAGTTTGGAATAATGCACCACTGCATTTTTACCTTTGCCATCTTTTGGATTATCAAATTAAATTCATCCACTTCAAATCTGGAAATTAGTGGAGCCATTTGCTTATCATTCTGGATGTTCCCATTAACAACAGGATGTGGGTCAGCCCCAAATACCAGCAACCCTCGCCTAGTAAAATCAAAATCCACTGAACGATCTGGAGGCATATACCTAAGCTGTGAGGAACAAGAAAAGATGTTACCACAAATTCTAAATACTTAATAATTAATACAAAAGAATAGCATTAATTGGCATATAATACTGCTTAAATAAGATGGAAGTTGAACTGAACATGTCAATATTCACCTTATTATTTACCTCAAGTATATGAAACCGCCCCCCCCAAAGAGAATTATTTTGAAACAAAAAGGTAGAAAAAATAATTATCCTGATTTGTTATTATAAACTGACCCTTTTAGTTTAGGATTGATTAATTCTTCTTGTTGTTATTTCACTTTGTTCTTTGTTTTCTTACATAAAAGAACCTTTAAACTCTAGAAAGTACAAATTTCTCCGGATTGTTGTGGGGTTTTTTGGAATTATATAATCCAGCCAATCCAACTGTGAAAAAGTAACAAATAATACTGGTAGTCCTTGATTTACGACCACAATTGAGCCCAAAATTTTTGATGTTAAGCAAGACATTTGTTAAATGTGTTTTGCCCCATTTTATAGAAGGTTGTACAAAATGACCATATTATCCTGGGATACTGCAACTATCATGAATATGAGTCAGTTGCCAAGCGTCTGAATTTTGATTATGTGACCATGGGGAGGCTGCAAGTGTGAAAAACTGTCAGGTTACTTTTTTCAGTGACATTGTAACTTTGAATAGTTACTAAACGAACTGTTGTAAGTCAAGGACTACTTTTAATGAGATTGATCTGTATATATTTTCTCAGAAGGACATATTTAATTACAGTGATCTGCATCTTCATTTTGAAAGACAAAAAAAATCACAATAATCCACAAAACCTCTTTTAATGTTCCAGGACAAATCATCAGTGCCTCTTCATTTTGCTCCTGTCCACACACTACACATTTTAGAACCAGAGGATTATTTATTTATTTATTTATTTATTTATTTAATTTATTTAATTTATTTAATTTATTTTGATTTGTCAATCATTTACAAGATAATAGGTATAAGTATATACATAATTATGAATACATGAAATGGGTACATATAAGAAAAATAAAAGAAACAATAGGACAAGGATGGTAGGCACGTTGGTGCACGCCCCCTACAGACCTCTTAGGAAAGGGGTGAGGTCAATAGTAGACAGTCTAAGGTTAACGTTTTTGGGGTTTGGGGAAGAAACCAGAGTCAGGTAGGGTATTCCAGACATTGACCACTCTGTTGCTGAAGTTGTATTTCCTGCAATCAAGTTTGGTGTGGTTTACCTTGAGTTTGTATCTATTGTGTGGTCTTGTGTTGTTATGGTTGAAGCTGAAGTATTTATTGACAGGTAAGTCACTGCAATGTATGATTTTATATACCATACTTAGATTAGACCAAAGATGGCATAATTCAAGGTTTTGGAATTCAAGACTTTGGATTAGAAGCTGGGAGACCATAAATTTTAATCCTGCCTTAAGCACAGAAACCACTTAGATGGCCTTTGGGTGACTTTCTCTCAGCTATCGGAAGATAACAGTAGCAATTAGACTTATATACCACTTTATAGTGCTTTACAGCTCTCTCTAAGTGGTTTACAGAGTTAGTGTATTGCCCCCAACAATCTGGATCCTCATGATGATAATGACAAACCACTTTTGAAAATCTGACAACAAAACTGCATGGACTCGTCCATATGGTTGCCAAGAATCAAGACTAACTCAAAGGTTTTATTTAAAAAGGTAGAGCAAACAGAATATCTGAAACCACATGTATACCTTGGACAGCATTTCTTTTCTATCAGAGACATTTCTAGCTTCAAGGTTTAGGCACTTCGCTTTTGAAAACTGACAAGAAAAAATGGCACTATAATGATTTATAGCTTTTTAAAGAAATGGTGTGCATCAGCGATTCATGGGGGACTAAGCTGTAATCCTATATGTTTCAATAACATTTTACTCCCTAAAGCTTTCTTACTAGGTTGGAATATAAGTCCATATACAAGCATCTTGTTATTCTGAATCAAATAAAATACAGTTTAAACACATTTTGGCATTGGAGTTACCCCAGAAGTCACAAAACCAGTCTCAGCTGTAGACTGTTGAGACAAGAATACAGTCTTTATGACAGCTATTAACTGAAGTGATGTAATGCTTTAGGGAATATCAGGTGAAGACTGGAGATGATCCAGATAAATATATCTTCAAAATTACACTGGCAGCTAGTGTAGATAATACTGTAATATCTTATATGCAACAGAAGACTATTTACTTTGGCCCAAATTGGGGTGCTACTATTAGGGCAATAACAGAAATATAAGATTGCCATATGAAAGCTGAACTTGTTTTTATTCAAACTTGGAGGCAGAATAATCTCACAACTATTAAAATGTCCATTGCACACCCAATGGTGATCAGGTTTCATATTCCCAATCGTTAATAGCACTAATTGTCAATGTGACCAGGAGACTGTTATTTTTTTCCTGGCTGATTACCTTTCATAAACCTCTAAGAAGTTTGCAAAATTCTTATTCACAACCATAGCTGTTAAAAGCCACCTGGTTCCTCCTTTATGCTATTAATTGTTACCTGAGAATTGCTTTAGAATTTTCTTGCAATTTTGAATTTTTATTTCATAGTTATTGTATTACGTGCTAATTTTTCATTATTTTTGGTCTTGGACCTTCTATACTTTTTAAATTTGATTTGAGGCTGTTTCTTGTCTTAAACCAAGCCTATTCCATAATAATGTTTATACCAACGTGATTGTGGAGACAAATCATGTAAATGCTCTGAGATTCTTATCAGAAAAATCCCGATAAAAATATAATAAACCTTGATCTAGTTCTTAGTGCTATTTTTGCTAAATAAAGTGTTCTTATTTTTTTAACTGTCAAAAGTGTTCAGTTCTGCCATGTATTTTCACACAAAAGTAATGTTTAGGTAATCCTTGATTTATGACTACAATTGGGACCAAAATCTCAGTCACCGAGCAAAGCAGTTTTTAAGTGAGTTAGTGTGATTGCTTCACTCAGTGAATGCAATCCCAGCAATCCCAGTTGTGGTCATTAAGCAATCTCCCAGATTGTTCAGTGGAATATGCATGGAAGGGAACTGCTCTGATGGACTGTCTCAAAGGAGTTTGGATATTCTGGATCCGAGTTCCGTTTCTGCTCCCCTTGATAGCTCCTTTTGGTAGGCCACACCATCAGCCAGGCTCTCAGTGATGAGAGGAAGACCTCTCAGTAGAAAGGAGGAGATTGCAAACTTCCTTGCTGGCTTCTCAACTGACTTTGGCAGTAAAGACTGCAAATGTGACCACATAATTATGGGGCCCTTGGCAACCAGTTGTGAGTGGGAACAGGTTGCCAAGCATCCAGCTCGTAATCATGGAACTGAGGGGGAAGGCATAACATTTTATGACAGCAGAAAGTGCATTATGGGCTGAAAAAAACTTTTCAAGGCTGTCTTAACTTTGAACTAACTGGTCATAAGTTAAGGACTATTTGTACAAATATCACTCTTCCCTGATTTGTCATGTCAAATTTGTCATGAGTGGTATATTTCTTCTAACAGGTCATATTTATGCTAGATGTGGAATTTTAACAGACCAGGATAACAAGTTTGGAAGGGACCTTGGAGGTCTTCTAGTCCAACCCCTTGCTCAAGCAGGAGACACTATACCATTCCAACCAAATGACTATTCACTCTCTTCTTAAAAACCTCCAGTGACAGAGCACCAACAACTGATTGTTTGGTAGTTTGGGGGAGTTAAAAGCCTATACATCTCAAAGTTGCGACGGTTGAGCAAGTCTGGACAAAGTGGCAGGTAGAGAAAGCAGAATGTTGCTGAACTTCAATTACAGTTATCTCAATTATACAGTTATCTTCATATACAGTTATCTCCCTCTCTTTTTCTTCTTCTTCCATATAACCATGATGTCTGATGAAAAGCTTTTGGAAACTCAGAACCCTGTCCACTTCAGCTAATTCAATCAAACTACTAAATAATGAATTACAGGAAGAGGAAATGGTGCAGAATAGGAATAAGAGTAGACTAGAGTAGACTAGAGTAGAGTAGAATAGAACAGAATTCTTAATTTGCCACGTGTGATTGGACACACAAGGAATTTGGCCCCAGTGCAAAGCTCTCATTGTACATAGAAAGTAATAAGTCATATTGATGTGATCCTGATACTTCCCACAAACATTGCTACCACTTCAAAACTATCTTGCAAACATAACCAATCAGCACCCATCAAATCTTTCTCTTTTATTACTCACTTGTTCTTTCAGCTGCTTTATTGACTGCTGAAGAGTCAGCACGTGGTTGAATAAAGGGTTCTTAAGAGTATTGTATAGAAAAGCCAGATTATCACTGTGGGAAGTGTCTCCTTTCTCATGAAGTTTCATTAGTAGACGTTCCAGAATCTTCAGGATCTGCTGCTTATCTGATGGATTCCCCAAAAACATCATAACAATTCATTAAAAAAAACATACTAAAGATAATTGAAATGTTTCAACCATGTGATAAGCTTATTTCAAACACACTTACCTGCAATTGGATTTTCTGGCATCCTGGCTTATCTGCACTGTTGATTCAATATGGCCTAAATTTTAGAATAAAGATGTAGATTAAGCTTTGACTTTCAACATATCTTACTCTGAAAAACATAAATGGCAAGCACACATTTACATATGCCTGTTATTGCTCCATTAAAGGGTATAGAAAGAAGTGCATATTATATTTCTTTCTGTACCCTTTTAATGTGGCAATAATAACTCTAAAGAGATATATATGTGTATAAAAGTATTACCGTGGGTCCAGAGAACATATCAATCTTAAACAAGCAACCTGGTTATTTACATGCATCAAGTCCTCAACTTACATTTAGTGACCAAAGTTACAACAGCAATGAAAAAAAGTGACCTTTGACCATTTTTCACACTTATGGCCATTGCAACATCCCTGTAATCCTCTGATCAAAATTTGGACACTTGGCAACTGGCATGTATTTATGACAGTTGCAATTTCCCGGGGTCATGTGATCTCCTTTTGCAACCTTCTGACAAGCAAAGTCAATGGGGAAGCCAGATTCACTTAACAACTGTGTTACTAAAACAACTGTAGTGATTCACTTTACAACTGTGGCAAGAAAGGTGGTGAAATGAGGGAAAACTTATTTAAAACTGCCTTGCTTAGCAATTGAAATTTTGGCCTCAGTTTTGTTCATAAATTGAGGACTGTCTTGCCACACATAGAGATAGAATCTAGACCAACACAAAAAGTTTCCCATCACGTTGTCCTGCTATTATTTAAATTAATATTACTTTCACATACATACTATCTTGTAATATGTATAAACTGGGCATTGCTATCAATAGAATCATACCAAGATAAAGAGAAGGCATGCTAACGAAATTTGTATTTTATCCCATGTGGAATGCAAAATTCTTTCTTCTACAGATAAATAAATCAGTTCAGGGTAATACCAGACAATTTATATCATGCAGCATTTTCTGTTTATAATGTTAAGCCACCATGTTATGTTTGCTTAGCATGATGAGTGTAAGAACAAAATCGGGATTTGCATTGTATATTTCCCATTACTCTCAGCTAAAAATAAAACCTCATATGTGAACCAACAATGTAATAGAATTGTTTAGAATTGTAATTTTAAATCATTATCATTTTCCAATTAGGAAATCCTTGCTCTGCTGTATAGTTAAATCCTTGCTCTGTTGTATAGTTTAAATCATTATCATTTTCCAATTAGGAAATCCTTGCTCTGTTGTATAGTTAAAACATACCAATCTCATATATGCTTAAATACATGTATAAAGCCTCCTTAAATCTACCTTAAATCTCAGTTATCTCATGGATAAATTCATGTATCTTCTTCCAGATGTTCTCTCAACTTGTCAGTTTAGTTTACAGTTCCATTACTAACTCAGACCCATCTCTCCTTATTTTTTGAGCATGTGGAAGAACGGTTTAAAAAAAGTCTCACCAAACGGAAATCCTTAGGCTGCAACCGTGTACCAATTAAGAATAAAATCCTACAGACTTCAAATAGGATTACTTTCGGATAGGCATGTAACATTGGCTGACATCATTGAGAGCTAAGGAATAAAATCAGTCACATATAAGTTAAATAAGTCACACTGTGTTTATTTAATGGTATTTGCAGATGATTATTAGTATGCCTATTCAGAAACTGTACTGAGTTTACTCCCTGGATAGGTATGTGTTTTATTACATCATAGTCTCAAGTTTCTTTATTTGGCCTTCTGTGTATTAATAGATACACATGCATGACAGGCTTTTAAAAACCTGACTGTACTTGGGAACTGGGATTTCTCAGGCATACAGTGATCCTGGAATTGCAAAAACCTTCTCTCCAGTCCTGCTTTGGGGAATATGTAAATTATTAGATGCAAATTCAGCAACAAGAGAAACTGAAAATTCTAGGACATTACATCAATCATCATCTAAGCCCTCTTCTGTTTTGAAGCATTCTTTCACAACAGATACAATAAATAAACCCTCTTGGATAATAATATTCCAGTTGTCCCAGTATGTCCAGATTTAAGTAGAACATTGAAAGAATCTGTTCTTTTATATTTTTAAAAAATAATATTGAAATTTTGCTTTATTTGTGAGTTTTAGATTGGGAGTTTCAAACGCATTCTGAAGCAAATCTATTTTAATATTGATTTCATAACGAAGTTTTAGTACTCTATAATGTCAATATTATTTAGTATTTATTTCATAAGGAAGAATTAGTACTGTACTTAATTTCCAAAGTGAAAAAAAGCTATCCTAAAAAGCACACTTTCCAATCTCTTTTCTTCCATGCTATCCAGTGCATAAATATCTACACTGAGTGAACGAGGATTACTCTTATAAAAGTAACTCTTGGGGGGGAGAATTCTGGGAATTGAATTGCACAAGTCTGGGGTTCCCAATCACATACCAAACCTTGAGCTTCTCCATCAGTGACGGTGGGTTGTTTAGCCCAGAAACAGCCGATCAAGGATCAATACAGAGATCCCCAAGAAAGGAGCTCCCCTCTTCTTACGTGTTCACCATTTGGGTTTATTTATTCCCCGAAGCAAGTTCCCAGCAAGGAACGAGCCCCCAAGCCCAGCCTCGAATCAAAGGTCAGCCCTGTTGCGTGGTTGGCAGCTAAGACCGCACAACCACAACACTGCCGCTGCTGCTTAACGTTTACCGAGCGTTTTGAGCCGAGCTGAAAATATCCCTTCACGCCTGTACTTTGCACTCAAGTCTTAGCGGCTTTTAAGCTGTTCCCTCAAGGCTTCAACCCGGGCGACTTTCAAAATAAGCCACGATCAGGAGACGAGGGCAAAGTCCCCTCCTCCCCCCCCCCCCCGAGGAAATCCAGCCTCTATAGGGGCAACCGGGATTGGATCTAAGCAGATAGATAGATAGATAGATATAAAATATAGCTCTGAACAAACGACTCAAAGAAAAACCCTACCGCGAGGAGGGAGGGACGCCCCACCATAAAAGGCTCAGCAAACCCGCCCACCCGAAGCGCAACAAGTTCTCCCCCAAGTCTCTCTCTTTTTTTCCATTACACTTCCAGCCTTCAGGAAGTGGGCGACTGACTGCATCTTCCCAGCGCCTGCCCGCCGGTTCTCCTCCCCGCTAAGAGGGTCGACTGGGAGTGGGGGGTGGCTTCCCGGAAGGTAGCCGGGAGCGCGCCCGGATCGGCCGAAGGGCTTACCTGCTCGGCTGGGGGCGAAACCTGTCGCTGGGCGATCCTGGCTTCTTCTTACCTGGGCGGAAGCGGGAGTTTCGTTTTTTACCCGCACCGCTCCTTGCAACACAGGAAGCCGGCAGCGAGGGGGAGCCGCTGGGTGTGAAGGAAATCAAACCGGGCTCCAGGGTGGACGAGGGCGAGAGATCAAGCTTGCCGCGGGCCGAGAAGCGGGAAGGAGGGTGGGGTCGCTCAGGTCGCGGACTGGAGGAGTGTCCCACCCCGCCACCTCGGCCCCCTCCATGGGGGATGCCGATGGGTTTAGTTTCGGGGTAGAAGAGGGAGATTCGAGGAGAAAGGGAAATAATGAGTGAGAAAGGGGAATCGGAGACCGTGGACGGGAGAAATTGGCCACCCTTGCAGGAGTGGCTGGGGGGACGATGTGGTTGGGTCATGGGAACGTTGCCGTCGGGGACAAGCAAAGGGAAGGAGGCTCCGACTCCGTAGCTTTTCGTTAGGTGTACATGGGGAAGAGGCTGATGAGCAAAACCTTTGTGGGCTGAGGCCCGCAGTTTGTGACACCAGCAGCAAGTCAAGCTAAAACCCGACATTCAGACATCAGCAAGACAGCAGCTGTTTTGTTGCATAGACTTGCTTTTTGAATCTATGTTTAATAGAATCACGTAGAAACAGGAAGGGATGCCTCTTTTTAAGAGAAGAAATGGCGTTTCGATGACCTTAACTAGCTGTGGGAAAATAGCTTTTTCCTTTCCAAAAAGAACATCAACAAAAAATAAAGGGTTTTTTTTTTTTAAATGAAGGCTGTATAGATAATAGGTAAATTGTTAGCTTTATGAAATGACAATCAGGTTTTTTTTTCTTTCCCTATTAAATTTTTCTCCGTACTTATTCATATTGTACCCACTATGTATAGGATTTGAAAGCAATCACTTCTGTGCCAATCGTATTTATGAAATTGCTACACAACATTTGTGAAAAGTGAGTGTTACAGAACATTATGGGTTGATTTTGTGTTCAGAAACATGAAAGCAACAAGGGACAAGCCTATGTTATTGGTCAAAGATAAACTCTTAACAACCTATTATGCTTAAATTAATTTGATCTGGGACTGAACATTATGTCAACACATTTCTTTGGTGTCCAAGAGTTTCTGGATTCATTTAGTTTCTGGATCCCTTCAATGCTAGGATACCTGCCAAGAACTAAAGATCAACTGCAGAGGTTCTTCCCTAGCTGCCCCACCAAATGAGATCCACCGTGTCAGTTTCAAAAGAATAGTATTAGCATCTCAGTTTGCAAATGACCATAGGAAAACAGTTTATGAATTTCTTGGTGCTAAGTAAAACATTTGCTTTATTGGTAGAATCATGTATTGTGTGATTGGTTGACTTCACCTTGTACTGTAATCTTTCCATGCTTTCTGAAATGTTATTATGGGTAGTCCTTGATTTCTGACAATTGAGCCCAGCATTTCTGTTGCTGAGTGGGACATTTGTTAACTGAGTTTTGCTCCGTTTTATAGCCTTTCTTGCCACAGTGAAGTGAATCACTGCAGTTGTTAAGTTAGTAACACAGTTGTTAAGTGAATGTGGCTTCCCCATTGACATTTCTTGTCAAAAGGTTGTAAAAGGTGATCACATGACTTCAGGACACTTCAACCATCATAAATATGAGTCAGTTGCCAAGTATCTGAATTTTGATCATGTCACCATGATGCCGCAATGGTCATAAGTGTGAAAAATGGTCATAAGTCAATTTTTTCAGTACCATTTCAACAGTCACTAAATGAAGACAAAATGAAGTCAAAGACTACGTGAATTTGCTCTTGGGGCTACTTTCACATTGTTAACTGTTGTAAAGCTATCATGTTCACATTCCATCAGAGTTCATCTCCACACTAGACAAATTGCAAATATTCGATTTATACATCAGACTGCAGATTATCCCATATTTCCTCTTTTTAATGCTAGAGGTATCTTTTTGTTTTGTTTTGTTTTAACCAAGACAGAAGTTCCTGGCCAAAGCTAAAGATCTGTTCTTGACCTCAGATTTAATTTGGAATATGCAGGAATAATGGTTTTTTCAGTAACAAATCGACACATATTCCAAAAGACCATCAATTCTCAATAGGAAAAGGAAAAAAGTTAGTAAGCTGACATAAGATTGTTTCGATTTTATCTTTGTGTATTTAAAGTATGATACTTAGTAACGAGTATTGATTGTTTCTATGCCATTTCAAGAACTGTGTGTTTTGTAACGTAGACCTTCAATACCAGTACAGTAGAGCTATATGTAAAAAAAGAGCAGATTAGCATAATTTTGTGGTGTGCCAGAGATTCTAATGTCTATTTTTGTGTCCAAAGTTCTTTTAAGATATCTCAAAGGTGCTTTTTCAAAAGGCAACTGACTTTCATTGTTTTTTTCCTTGAACATGTTTTGCTTCTCATCTATGAAGCTTCTTCAATTCTGAAGCCGGAATTGAAACTGAAGAAGCTTCTTGAAAGAGAAGTGAAACATCTGGAAAACATCAGGAAAAAACAAAGTCTAGGTACTTGGGACAATCATGACCTGGATGACTGAGAATCTCCATAGAGATTCTTTTAAGATGATGTCTGCGATCTGAAAAACTATATATAGTTTTATCTCATTTGACGCTGTTTTGTTACTGTATAAAATGAAAACATATTTTTTACACGTTTCCTTTTCCCCCTTTAATAAAGTGTGATTTTATTCATCTTTTGTTTGCCCATAGAGGTGGTGGTAAAGAGGAGCAGATTCTGTTAGTCAAATGCCTCAGTGCTATAAAGTTGGCAGTGGAAGTATATATTTTCTTTTTTCTTTATTTTTCCCTTTTAATGTGCTAGAAAATAATACAGATAGTGGGAGATCTAGTTCCCTGGCTCACTAAGTGAGGCACTTCCTGGAAAACAGATAATATCAGTAGTCCTGGATTAACAACCTTTCATTCGGTGACTGAACTTACATTAGCACTGAATGAGTGGTACTAATGACTGGTTCTTAAGGGCTGGCTGTTGCAATGCCCCTGCGTCATGTGATCACAATTTGGGCATTCAGCCAGATTTTTCAACCTGTGGTCACATAATTGTGACTGCAGTCCTCCCTGCAGCCTTCCCACAAGCAACATTATGTGAAAACCATAGGAAAAATCAAGTCATGGTTCCACATGGTCCTTGCTTAACAACGGTAGCTGGAGACTGCTGGAACTGTTGTTGCAGAGTGGAACATCCAAGTGATACTACACTTTTTGACTACGTTACTTAGCAATGGAATCTCAGTTTCCAATTCCAGTCATTAAGGATTACCAATAGTTTCAATAACTACCAAACTACTGCACCAAAGGACCTAAATTGTATAGACCCAGAAGGCTTCTGAGAGAAGAGACTTTCATTCATTTACCTACAAGCTTAGTCCTCAGTGCTATAAAGTTGGGCAGCAGCAGTATATAATTTATTTAGAGAATCTCTTTTACGGTATTTCCTCAGCTGTCGTTCATGTTTTATGTTGTATTGTTTTTAAACTACTCAGAATTGTTATGAGATGGGAAGCTGTATAAATGGAAGGAAATAATGTGTTGCTTTTAATTTTTTTACACTTAATCTCTTATTTTAAAAACCCACATCCTTTGGGATTTGGGTTGTATATGAACATTATTAATGAATAACAGAGATATTAAGTGCTTCATAGCTTTTGAAAATTAAGAATTTGTGTGGATCAAGCTATTAAAGGTATGCAAACCATGTGAATCAATACATTCAAAATTTCTACTAAGATTGCAAAATTGTCATTTTCTTTACATGATGAAGTTTCAATAAATGACAGTATTGTTACTGAAATTGCCATCTTAGTTTAATGGCAACAAGATGTGGAAAATTTACAAGCTTATTATATTCAGACAATAATGCAGTGTGTGGGTTTATACATCAAGCTAAGAAAAAAAATAAAATCACATTTTTGTTTTAAAATTGTATGGGTTGGCTTAATATTGTATGGGTATCTTTGCAGTAAAATATGTTGTAAAATGAATAGATAGAACCATATGGAAATGATCTTTCTGTTCACCCATAAGCTCTCCTGAAAAAGATGAAATGGCGGCAACAAAAATCATAATAAGGCCTGGTCACCAATTCTCCCAACGTGTGTGACATGGGTAATTTGATCTTACCCAAAGACTGAGTGAATCATTATCAGGTAATAATAAAGTAGATTTTTGACATGAATAGACTCAATATGATGTTTATATTTCTATCAATTGTTATTATACTGATGTTTTTAATTTTCTGGTGCTCAGGGTTGCTCTGGTGAGTTGGGCAGCTTTACAAATGGAATAAAATCAACCAAAGGCTGGCCATACTTATTCGCTTGCTGGAATAATGCCCAGTAGCCATTAAAAATATCTCCAAACTCAGAATCCAATTTAAAAAAGGACAAGGTACTGGAGTGACCAAATCCCTGAAATTATATAAATTAAATGGATGTTAAACAAGGTTGTATTCTTGTTCCTCCATTATCCAGTTTTCATTTGATCTGTTCTGTACAGGCTTTATCAACCAGAAAGCTTCCTTGCCAAGCAGTAACACAGAGACCCATCGTATACTGTTACACACAAAGGCTGCTATTCTTTCTGAGTCTCAAGTAGACCTTGAGAAAACCCACCTAAGTGTTAGCAAGTTTCTGCCACCAAGAAAAACTTGTCATTAACTCTATAAAAGCAAAGATGTTTCCAAAACATGCTGCAGTTGCCAATATAAATGCCACATCAATGGCATCAAAACAAAACAAATTAAGTGCTTTAAATATTCATCCTCTAAATAATAATAACAAATTCACCAAGTTTCATCCAACGCACAAATACTATAATTAACTATATAAGCTATAAAGGTAACAATTTGTCTCTGTAGCAGTTAAATTGTTCAGAACTAAGATGTCAATTCTGCTTTATGATATACAACTCTCTAGGACTTAAAAGTTTAGATTAAAGCTAACGTGTAAGAATTATTGTATCTAATGTGTAAGAATTATTTTCCATGGCCCTTGATTTATCCATAATGTTTATAATAAGATTTGAACTAGGATCTATTTTTATAGCGGCTTGCATAAAAATGTTACTTAATGTATTAGCTGAAATACATTTGAAGAGTGATTCAGTGCTTAATTCATTCTTATACATTTAAGACAACCACTGCTAATGATTGTTCTGTCTTTAGCCTCCCAACTCAAAGGCTACAAATGAAGAAAATTATTTCTTGAATTAAATAAGGTGTTACCAATCTTGAGCTATACCCTGGAAGATCTAAGACTCCAAATTCTGCCTCTGGGAATAATCTCTTTGCTATTGAAAAATACAAAAAGTTGGTGGAAGCTTGTCTTAAGTTCCTGTCCAGATTGCTATTACAGATGCTCAGATATATCCATAAAATTATAATGTGGATCCTGTTGCATTGGCCAGTTTGCCTTGACTAGTGATCTGCAGTTATATCCATTCATTAAGCATGAACCAAATGTGACACTATGCAATTTCCATTTGATAGCATCTTTTATTGCAGCCTCTTAAGAATGTCACAGAAGTTTGTCCCTTTGCAATTGCCAGTAAAAGCCAAAAGGACTAAACTTATTCTACTTTGGAATGATATGTTGCTATTTAGGAAGTTTAAACGGTAGTTTGCTAATATGTCATAGCCTCTTGATCATATCACTTTTTAAAAATTTGGTTTCTGACAATAAATAAGGAACCATTGTAGTTAATTCTTTTAAATTGATGTGAATTATTTAAATTGAGATCTGAAAGTTGTAAGAGTTAGACTGCTGTTGAAAATATGCATTGTTAACATAATATTTCAAAAGAAGGCATGTAATATTTAAAATAATAGACTCTGGCCTAAGATCTTTTGCTGCCTGAAATTAAAGCTAATATAACAGGGTTGTTGATAAGCACTCAAAATTAATCACAGTTAATTTCCCTCAGGCAAAAATCATACAAATAACTGTTCTTTACTATAGAAACAAATACAAGAATTTTTAAATCAATGTGTTGTATTGGAGAAGGAAAACACTGTTGGCTGTTATTTTGAAGCATATAAATGAAGAAAGTACCAAACTCAGCCCATGGACACCATGTTTGCTTGATATGCTATCTGAAGCAGCCTCCACCAGATGTGGAGACTGGGGACATTTGTTGACAGTGAGTTAGGATGAAGTCATCAATATCCACTGACCTGAAAATAAGCCTCACTACCTTCAAGGGAACTGTTGAGTAGGTACATACTGTGTAAGATTGTATGGATGTCAATATTACTCATCTATTTTATTTATTAAACACATATAGCAGCCCATCTACCAAAAGAAAACTGGATGGCAAAAAAAAAACAGTAAAAACAATTTAAACAAATTTTTACAAGGGCCCCTATAAACTGTAAAGTAAACTTCATGCAGGCAGGCTTCATTCTTTTTTTTTAATAGCTAGGAACTTCAATTAAAAAAGTATAACCTCTGCATTTATATTACTTTGTACTATATTGTGACAGCTGTATTTAAAAGTGATAAAAGTTGGGTTTCTTCTCTAAACCTATTATGGAACCATACTTTCCAATTGAGGTGACTTAGTCCTCTATCAAGGTACCCTATTATACTCAGGTGCATTGAACTATAGGTCTCATTCTCAGCACAAAAGTTTGACCTACTAGCTGGGAATTGTAGTCCAGGACACGTGAAACTTACAAAGATGATTAAGTTGTTATGTATGTACATTCTGTTCCCTGGCATATTCTGTCTTTTTACTTTCAAGAACCATACTAGCTCTTTCTCATCAAGTTTTTATTTTTCTTAAAAGCTTCTCTTCTTATCCCATATTTTTGTATCCCTAGTTTACTATTTCACAGCTGTCCTATTCTCTGCAGCAGTTTACTTAACCTATCACTCCAATCTTCAGCACCTATTATCCAGTCCCTGATTTGGCTTTTCTTTCAGGCAGCTTTTCTAATATTAATTTAACATTTAAAATAATACAGCAGCAGAAACAATTACATTTATTTGCAGAAAGTAGCATAAGTTGTGGGAACCCTTGCTTTTTTTTATGCCAATTTAGGACAACCTTGCATTTATTCCAGGAAAGTTCAAATACATAAGTGACCATTCTGAACTGCTATTATTACTTAAGGGCCTCCCAAAAAATGTTTTTTTTTCCAAAGGATGGCCATTCTTGTCCTTTTTATAGCTGATGAAGTGGCTGATAGCAGTAAAACATTTCCTATAAAGAAGGGAAGGACAGAATACTACCTCTGAGGTCTGAGAACTGTTTGGAGTTCATTATTGGGTGCAATAAAAGAAGAGAAAGTAGAGATCAGTTCTAATTGAAAATAAGTTTTTAAACAATAGCCAAGAATTGCTATTCCAGGAAAAGAGCATAAAAGAATTACTCTTAAGAAGAAATAAAACTTCATTAGGGTTTTTTTTTTAAAAATTCTCTTTGTGTGCTATTAAAACCATGTTTTTTATACTTGGCTGCTATTCGCTGAGTGCTAATCCTTAATCCCCAACATTGCATAATAGCCTGTTTTGTTTTTCTACTCAATACCTTTAAAAATGAAACAATTAAAATGGATTCCATAACTACAAGTTATTTAAGACTACATAAGAAGCTACCTGTGGGACTCTGAATTGACACTTTGTCAGCAAAAAAGCTAGATGTACCAGGTAACCAAGAGAAGGAGAAAACAGCCAGATTGTACAGTGAGCACTAACTTCATTTTTTTAAAAATGTCTATCCAGTGAAGCACAAATGTAGCCATTAATTTTGCTGATGCTGGTAATAATTGAGCAGGAACAAAACTACCGAACGTTTAAAAAAAACAACCAATACATTGTATTGGTTTCTTGCAAATATATCAGCCCCCAATTGCTGCTAGTCGTGCTGCTGGGGGTAATAGAGAATATATTCTTTTATAGGCACCACGAAGTTCACGAAGGGAAACCAGTACCCCTCTGGACTGAAGCTGGCTCATCAGCATCGCAACTGGCAGGGTGGATGGGTGGGCACTGGGAAAAAGCCCGATCCATTGAATCAAACATGGGTGGTTGCTCCACCAGAGCCCCAATTTTTAACCCTTGGTCCACCTGAAAGCAAGATTAGGCGGGAGCACGCCTCTTTGCACACCCAACCGCAGAATTATGATCGGACTCCCCCCTCAACAATGTGTGTGTACAGATCACAATAGAACACGATGGGTTATGTGCGAACACGTCCTCTTTGCTTTGCTCCTGCCTCTCCCCATCAGGACTCAACCAATTTATCTGCAGTGGTGTAGGGTTTCCTGTCTAGGCAGGGGGTTGGACTAGAAGACCTCCAAGGTCCCTTCCAACTCTGTTATTCTATTTCTAATTGAAACTACGAACTTGAAACATCGTGCAGCAAACCAAACAGATGGTTAAAAATTTATCCGGCCCCTCCCCTAAAAAAAAAAAAAAGTCAATCCAGGTTACTTCCTTCCGCTGCTTTGAACCCGAATAGCCATTTTTAGTAAGGGCGCTCGGCTTCCCATTTTGACGCCTCTCGCAGCCGTTGCCCGGAAAGAAGTTGGCGGGTTTTGCCTTCGTTCCTAAAGAAAAAAAATGGAATAACGCAGCCATCTTTGTGACGGGCAAGGCGGTTTGCCATTTCCGACGGGAGACGCAGCGCCTTCCTTCTGCCCTTCTTCGCGCGATTCGGAATGGCGTCGAGCGTTCCGCGAAAGGACTGCTACGGCGACGTCTGAAGAGGAGGTTTCTTTTTCAACAGGGCCGGCCTGGCAGGGAGAAGCCGCTGTCAAGCAAAGATAGGCGGCATGGTACCTCTCTGGCCGTTGGGGACTTTGTGGCTGGCTTATTTCGCGGCTCGGGGTATAGCGAGTGACGATGCTCCATTGAAGTGCGAAGATCTGCGACTTGGCCAATATCCTGAACACGGGAGGACACCAAGGGAACCCGGTCTCCGTGGTGATGGGCTTTGCGGGGGGGAGGGGGCGGGGAAGAGGGCGGGGACGGCGCTCTAGTCTAAAACGGGTCTCCAACCTTGGCAAACTGAAGACTTGTGGACTTCAACTCCCAGAATTCCTCAGCCACCTTTGCTGGCTGAGGAATTCTGGGAGTTGAAGTCTTCAAGTTGCCAAGGTTGGCGACCCCTGGTCTAAAAAGATCATAATGAGCCAGGTGCTTGAAGAAGCTGCACCTGTTGAATTACACTCCTGTAGTTCTAAAAGGAAGATCGTAGTCCTAAGTGGAGTACTGGTTATTGACTACAACCCAGGATGGATGGACCAAAAGCGTAATAATAGCAGATGCCAACAGGCCTAGGGTGGAATGAATGTAACCCACTTAAAGCCCTTATGAGTGGAAAGAGATCTGGGGCAGAAATTTATGGTTGGGTTCATACATAATAAGTCAGGTTTTGCAACATTTGGGGAGCTAGGTATTTGCACTTAGCTACATCCCTATGGATAATGGGGCCAGAACAAAATCTAAATTAGATTTATTTTTTCTTAATCCTTGCAGTGATTGAGCCCAGGATTTATGTTGCTAATTTCTTGCTACATTTGTTAAGTGAATCACTGCAGTTGTCAATTTGGTAACACCATTGTTAGGTGAATCGGGCTTCCTCTTCATGGATTTTGCTTCTCGGAAAGTCACGTGAGCCCAGGACAATGCAGCCATCATGAATATGAACCAGTTATCAAGCATCTGAATGTAAAGCAAGTGACCATGGGGGATGCTGCAACGGTCATATGTGTGAAAAATGGTCATAAGTCACTTTCTTCAGTGCCGTAATTCCAAACGGTCACTAAATGGACTGTTGTAAGTCGAGGACTACCTTCATTGTATTATTTGCTCAAGCATGATTAATTGTATAAGCCAAAGTTAGTTAGCTGTTCATATAACTCCAAAGTCCAAAGTCATGAGTTAGAAAACGCAGCAGATAAGTTTGTACAACATTGTAAAGCCAAAGAAACATTATAGCATATTTATTTGAACCCATTATTTATACTTTAGTAAACCTATTATTTAATCTTCCCTAATATGGTGCCTTCCAGGTGTGCTAGGATCAACCATAGCTGCTATGACGGTAGTTCTAGTCCCAGAGTATTGGAAAATTTCAGGCCAGGGAGGGCTATATTGTTGATTAAAATAGCTTCCCAATTGAAATATTGCTATATTGCTTATTTTTCTGGGTAAAAGAAGGAAATATGGACATTTCAGCCTATACAGTTTTTGATTAATTGAAAACAAATCTATCATAATGCTAATTTGAATCTATAACAGAAACTTGGGTTATGTTTGTTTTCCTTAATTGTACAAACATACATATGCAGAGATCCTAAAATAGACAATGCAACCCAAGAACCCATGAACTGTACGAACCACACTGCATATGGTAAGAGTTACACAATATGTTTAATGTTGCATATTCCTAAGTCAAATGCTTCCAGTGAATGAACCGTATATGTTTTCTCCTCTTAGTTATTATATAATTTGTTTTATTTAAAGTAGACATGGGGCCTTTCCCTGCAAAAATACTTGAGATGAATTAACAAGACTTGTGATGAGATTTTTCCAATTTATACTGCTGTCCACCTCATATATATGACTCTGGACAACAATTATTAATTATTAAGTATTAATAAATACAACAATTTTAAAAGAAGAAAAAATATATAAAAGCATATTAAAAACCATCATATTGTTATTGCCAGTAAATGTTTCTTGGCTGCACATATATTTTCAATATGAATTATTTTTTTAACTATGTTTAGTTTTTAAAGTTAATTTATTCCTCTTTAAAATACTAACATTAAGATTAAATTTAACATTTGCTTTATGTTAGTTGTCTTACCAAGAAGATATTTGCTTTATGTGTTCTATATTTGAAATGTTTTTTGATGTCCTATATCTAATGCTACTGTTATTTTTATATCCTTAGTTGCTTGTCTTCCAGCCCCAAATATTACTTGTAAAGATTTCAATGGAAGTGAAACTCAGTTTACTGGAAAAGAAATTGGATTTTACCAACCCGTTGAGTGTCGAAGTGTGTAAGTGGTAGTTTCAGTTTCTGTTTAATATGTAAGAATTCAATTGGTAGTGAACATTTGATGTATTAATTATAGAACTTAATTACATATTTGTATATGTACCTAAGTTAATTTATTAGTTTGAAATATGCTGCAGTACTTTCCTCTCAGTTCTGTTAGATTGAAGGAGAAATACTAGACCTGTCTTAGTTAAAAGCTGCTTCACTTGATCATATAGCTATCATACTTGAGATCAAAAAGGATCAAGTCCTAGGAGAGTGAAGATTATTAATGGATAGCTCTATACCCGTGCTTCGCTATGAAACTATGTAATCGGGCTTAGTTTTTGGGGTGGAAAATAAGGTGAGGGGGGAAGTGCCTCTGTCTACCAGCATCCATCGGTATTCATCTGGCTAACGTCCTGTCAGTGTGTGAGAGAGTTGAGGGCTGTTTGGAAACTGAAACATGGAAACTGAAACAGTATTTGCTATGTGAACAAGAAGGAGACAGCAAGGAGCCTGGGAGTGGCTTTGCTCAACTGTTCTGTACTAAAGCTGGTTGCTGCTGTGAAACTAAAACTGAAATTCCTCTGCTTGTGTTTTGCATTTGGAACAGATTTCTTTTCAGGTGGGGAGGGGGAGTAGAACTCTTTAGCATCACAGCATGTTAATAATAATATACGAAATATTAATGCTCTGATAGTCATTTTGAAAAATCTTTTCTTAGTGAGCACCTAGAAGCCAAGAGGAACATACGTGCCAAATTTCAAGTTTGTAGGCTTTATGGTTCTAGAGATTTTGTGAGGATGCATGACTGTTATTTCGCTTTTATATATATAGATTAGATCGTGTCTGTCAATGGACAGATTGAAACTTAAACCACTAAGTAACTGTTGGTTGGAGAGGAGGGTAGGAGAGCGGTTTGGAACTTAAAATTGTGGGTATGTTAAATCAGGTAAATCAATTCTGATTGCAAACTAGTGGTATATTTTTACAATCACAGGTAGGTCAGGTGTTCTTTATAAACTGGCATGGCTACTGTTTTTCATGGGGTAGGATCATCCAAACTGAGCCATTTCCATATATAATATGCTCAAAAATTTACTTTATACTTTATAGAGATTTATATAAGCATAACTTTTTGTTTAATTTTTGAAGGTAAAATAATATATTGCTGCAGGAGGCTAACATGATTTGTGCTAACTATAAATAACTGGTGTTACTCCTACTTTATTGTCTACCAATTTCTTTCTTGACTAGTTCAAGAGGTCAGTAATTTGATTTTAACTCTGCACGTATTGCTACAATTATATATGTGCTTGATTAGCATAACTAAACATTTGCACAATATAAGTGAGATTCATAGTGAGATTTTTTTTAAGTGAAAAAGATACATAAAATTGTATGCATAAAATTTTATTTGACTTGGTGCTAATACACTTCTTCAGTCCTAAAACATGTTAATCTGAAAATCAGAAAGTGTTGCAAATATGTAGCCCATTAGAATAAACAGATGAATAGATGCTTTAGTATAGAATTAATCAAGACTTAGTTCACAGATAGTTCATGTAGCTACTTTTTTATAAATTGGATTAAGTTCATTGTTTTAATCAGTTGTAATGTGTAAAGACTTTTTATGTAAACTGTTCAGGAATTCAGTTGATAGAAATTAGACAAGGGTTTCCCCCCTATTTTATATGGAAAATACATGGAATAAAACATGTTGAATTATAGTCTTGTTATCATTTGGGGAGTGAATCTCATTGGCAAGGTTTTGCTTCTTTTGTCTTAGTTTGAATTCTATTTTTGCACCTGGCACCCATGACATGGTATGAAAAGTGGAGATGATTGAACCACTAATCAAAGATTTGGCTTATAGAATAGTCAAATTTCCTAGCAATTTTATGCTCTTATTTTTGGACTACCATGTACTGCTGGAATCGTAAGTGCAAAATTCCTCATGTAAAATAACAGTTTATTACCTTTGCCTTTTAACTCTATATCTGAAAAAATTAAAATGTATCTATCTGAACAATGGCACTGTGCAGTTTGAAATACAGTACATTTTGCAAGTAATTCAACTTGGGATATATACAGTACTTGTTTCTGTTGCATAAGAAAACATTGAAGTATGAAAAATCAATAAAAACACTAGTTTGTTTTTATTTTGTTCTGTAAAATTGACTATAGTAAGTAAAACTGGCTTTACTAGGTTTGTGTTTGTACAAGAATATCCAAGTCTGAAATTGTATTCAAACCCTGCAATATCTTTCTTTATCGCATGAAATATTAATTGCCTAATAATGGAGAAATCATTCACTCCTTTTTATATTATTGTTTGGTGTTATGTATAGCTGGCTTTCCATTTGCTTAAGGTTTGACAGTTTGAAAGTTCTAGTGTTAAATAATTAATGAAGAAAATGAATTCAAAAACTGATTCAGCAATTTTCTCTCCTATTTCTATTTCTAGAAATGGTTACTCCTATAAAGTAGCAGTTGCTCTGTCTTTGTTTCTTGGCTGGTTGGGAGCAGATCGGTTTTATCTAGGATATCCTGCATTAGGTAAGTTCCTACTTTTAAGTATATAAAAATGAATGGCACTGTATTAATTTATTCCATTTGTATTCCTAAGAGACAGTGGCATATGTAGATATCAAGCTGGAATATCAAGAGGTTGACATATTTGGCAAATACAGGTAGTTTCTGACTGTTGATCGCAATTGAGCCCAAAATGTCTATGGCTAAGCAAGACAGTTGTTCAGTGAATTTAGCCCCATTTTACGATCTTTCTTGCCACAGGTGTTCAGTGAATCACTATAGTTCTCAAGGTAGCAATGTGATTGTTAAGTGAATCTGATGTCCTCATTGATTTGCTTGTCAAAATGCCGCAAAAGGTGATCACATGATCCCAGGACACCACAACGGACATAAATACATGCCAGTTGCCAAGCATCTGAGTTTTGATCATACGACCATGGGGATGTTGCAATGATCATAAGGGTGAAAACCGGTCATCACTTTTTTCAGTGCCATCTTAACTCTGAATGGTCAGTAAATGAATTGAAAGTTGAGGGCTCCTATATGAAATGGTGAACCTCCAAGGATGTTATATTTTTGTATTTCATCACACAATAAAAAGGGTGGGTAGGATCATTTATTCTAGATTTCCTTCTGAGTTGCACTTGAAAAAATTAAAGCATTGCCCAGTAAGCATTAGCAGTGTTTGCTTTTTACAAAGCTATTTATTTGTGCAAAATCACAAATGATTTCCCCCATGCAATAAGGGAGGGAGCCTTTATAATATGATATAGATTAGGGATGGAAGGAACAAGGATTTTAACTGTTCTGTCTTGCAGTTTGAGATATTATGACTCCCTGGAATTCTTTTAGATTATAGAGCAGGCATCTCCAAGCTTGGCAACTTTAAGACCTGTGGACGTCAATTCCCAGAATTCAATTCCCAGCTTTGCTGGCTGAGGAATTCTGGGAGTTGAAGTCCACAGGTCTTGAAGTTGCCAAGGTTGGAGACTCCTGTTATAGAGTGTTGTATTGGAATTTCTCAATTGGCTCCTAACCTATTGCATTTCCCCCCCACTTGTTAGAAACAGATTTTGTGGGATGGAAGTGCGGGAAATGACACAATATTAAATAGAATTCTTGGCGGTAGTCTTCTGCAAAAGAATAACCACCACCTTTTGGATTTTCAGTTTCCATATTTTTACAACTGAACATCATCAGAACATCATGTGGATCCTAATGGTATACAAATAGCATTGCTAAAATGGATAGTTATAGCTTTATCATAAGAAAAATATCAGGTGGAATTGGGATTCATGAGAGATTAGAAGCCATGACTCACTAAAAACATTGTTACTTGTCTTAGTCTGCTGGCAAACAAATAAAGGAAACCTGGAAGATGCTCCAGACTTCTGGAAGAATACTCTACCAACAGAAAATCCAAAAGTTGTTACATGGATGCCACAAATGAAACACTGCACTCCTTAATAGGAATTGCATACCAGCTGTCAATAATGGCAGTGGCGGTGGTAGTATTGTGTTTTGGAGGTGCTTTGCTGCCTCAGGAGTGAAAAGTTTGCCATTGTTGAATGAAGGATGAATTCTGCTTTTTAGCAATATCTTTTCGAATCATCTTAGGCTGATTTGCCTTCCCTTGGGAACAAATATATAAGATTCTATGGAACTTAGGAGGGATCAAGCTTAAGTCTCTTGCATTTGCACAAGGACTCAAGGCTAGATCCCCGCTTGATCGCTCCTCCCTGCCTGGCTGGGCATTTCCCAACACAAGTGAATCAAACAAGAAGACTGATCACAAACTTGTAAGGAAGTTTACATGACAATGGATGTAGAAGAAGAAACTCAATTTTTGAACCTAAAATATCCTTATCTAAACCTCATAAAATCTAGTATGATCTAAGAAAGTGAGCACATGCTAGAAAAACCTCCAATGTATTCAGTTGAAACTGTTTTCTTTGGAGGGATGGATCAGAATTCCTATGTAACAAAATGAGAGAATAATAATCTTTTTGCAGGACTTGTTAGTTTTGTCACTAAAAGGGATGCAGCCACTTTCTGTGAGGCTAAAGTGACAGTTATTTTTTTTCTCCCTGGGACATGAAATATTCAGTGACTTAGTTTATATATCAAATAAAGCAAGTGTTGTTATTTGTTTACTCATACTTTTTATATCAGTGGGGCTTATATGAAATTATGTTACTTGACAGTGGCCAAGATCAGCAAGTACTTAGAAAATCCAAAATGTGATGAATACTTTTTCATCCAGAAATGTAACTCTAAAAACTGGTGCTTTTGCTGGCATCTGCGTTTTATAATTTGGATGTCAGTAATTACTATAAAGAGAATTGTTTGTCACATGTATGCATAATAATACATAGCACAAGTCTTAAGGTAAAAAAATAACTTAAGGTTTTTATTGCTTTCCAGCTTTGTTTACTGAAAAGTGTGATATCCTATCTTTACAATGTTGTATTTTTGGTAGCTTGATGCTTCCATATAAATAACAGTAATTTGAAAAGAAAAAAATAATTTGTACATGGAAATAATAAATAGTAACTAAGACAGGATTTGTCTTACCTATAAACAGAATAAAAAATGATATGAGGCTGCCATTTCTTGCCAGAAAGTTTTTATAGGTGGCTGAGTTCAGAAAAAGGGCCACCTGTTTAACTTCATCTGATAGTACCTGGAGGAGAATATGTAATTATTTCTTCAGATTCATATGGTTCAGATATTCCATTAAAATACTTGCATCTCAAACTAAGGGTTTTAAAAGTCAAAAGAATATATTGAATTGTGTCCAGAAACAAATTAACATCTTATGAAGTTCCATTATATAATAAAATCACACTATAAATGGATGACAGGATTTGAACAAGTTGAAGTTTCTGAAGGCTTCAAGACAGACCCATGCATAATAAAAATTGCTAAGACATAATTCTTAGCAGGTTATCCTTTTCCATGATGTAGTTTTGTGTACAGATTTTGCTTAGGAGAATAAGCAGCACTGTTAGAAATGTTAAGACATTTTTTTCTGAACAGCTTCATGAGTGCCACTGCTCCATTATTTTAGACTTAAAACTAAACATAATGATTGAAAAATAAGCAGAAAGCCAGCCTTATGATGTGATACTAAAGTAACTTGTGTCATGTTTCACGTTTCGAATTGCTTTGTACTTTTAGTATGGTTTGCTGCTGATGTCTTAGTTGTTGAAAACTTTTAAAAGATTTTGAAGCTGGAAGCAAAGTCAGCTGTGTTTACACTAAGCTTATAAAGTTTTCGTCTAATTACACTCTTACCTTTTTTGTTTTGTTTTGATGTTAGTATAACAAAGTACTTTAATTCAAATCTGTTTTCCTCTGTTAAACTACCCCCTTTCTGAAGACTATTTAGATTCCCACATAGCTGCTGTTCATCTAATTTTAAAAACCATCTATGCAATTCCTAGTTGGGAAATATTCACATATCTGATACTGCCCTTTTTGCCCAGAGACAAAAGTACATAATATAGATTGTGTAGTTATTGCTTACAGTGAGTGAGTGAAACTTATACCTGATAATTGCAAAGAATAGTTTTGTGAAAGTTGGATAAATCTGATTGTTAATACTTGGTTCTGAAGAGGCCAAGGTGGATTGATATTATAATTAGTTGGTTAATTACAGATTATAGTATCATCTGACCACAAGCTCTAGTAGTCCAACCTAAAATAAACCCTAATAGCTAGAAGTAAAAAATGATCTGTCATCTTAGAGAGAAATACTAAAGACTTCTTGTCTTTTACCAAAGTTATTTTATGTTGATTGTCTAAATATATAAACTATATTCTTATGTACAATTTGCTGCATTGGTGGCTCACCAAAGTTTTCCTTCCCTTTGTCCCACAAATTGGGCTGGCATGCCTATTAAATTTAGAGAATCACCATTCTTTCAAACTTGTTAAAAAATTGCCTTGAATATTCTTTCGCTTGTTTTTCAGCAGTCCCTTTTGCTATTGAAACTTCAGTGGTTTGAAGTTTTGTTTAGGATTCTCTGTGTATATGGATTAAGAGGAAGCTACTAATTCAGAAATAATAATAAAAAACTTGTGATTTCCCTATACCTATGGTAATTCATTATTTTAGGGGCATGGATAAACCATTACAGTGAGAAGAAACATTTTTTTCTAGAAATTGTAATACGCTGAAATACGTCCACTGATTGGCATAATTGCAACTTTTTTCACAGGTTTATTAAAGTTCTGCACAGTGGGATTTTGTGGAATTGGTAGTTTGATTGACTTCATTTTGATTTCAATGCAGGTAAGTTCAAAACGTCTAGCAACAGATTTCTGGCACATTGCTAATTGAATAGTTGACTCCCACATTGCCTTTTTATGTTCCCATCAGTTTGAAAGCAGCTTGTCACAAGAACTGTATGATTTGTGAAGAAGAATGTTACTTTTTATTGTTTTTAGATTTGTTTTTAGATAAGAAAAAGCCTACACAAATTCTGTGCAATTAGACGTCTAAACATCAACTTGCCCGTATATCATTATATAGCTTTCCTATATTGCAAAATTATCAGAGAAGCTTTTATATTAAAGGTGGTGTTCAAAAGAATGTTTAAGAATTGGAAAAAATAAAAAAATATAAAGGAATATTTTATTAAATGGAGGTTTAATAAGTACACATATATGCAGACTTCCGTTGTATAAATGTAGCAGAAATATTTGCTAGCACAAAGCTTCTGCTTATTAGAAAGTTAGTTTCTATCGTTGCATACAAGTCAGAGCTAATATATTGGTTTCACTTAGTCAAAACCGTCAAAAGATTTTTAAAATTTCATTAAACTCCAATAGTTTTAGTTGTACTCCTAGTAGTTGCACAAGTTGAAGAGCATCAGTTCTTGTTTTGTCCTGATGGAATATTTGTGGTATACATTTTTATTCTTTTTCCTACACACATGTCCTTGGAATTATATTTGCCCACATTTAGTATGAAAAACGTACTTAAAATTCCATTCAGAGTTAATTTCCATGTAATTTTTAATGTAGCAGAAGGGGAAAATCCAGAGAGTTTTAATGACTGATGATGAACCTGGGTTTTAGCCCAACTTGTAAATTGCAATTCCTTCTTAATATCATAATTCAGAGCTCCCCAAACTTTATGGCACTGTGGCTCTGTAAAATCATAAGTGAATTGGTGCAACTTCTCCTGTAATAAACTAATAATTTCATTAGAATTAGATTAGGTTAGAATTAAATATGCTTGTTATTTTCAATTGTTGATATATTTTGCAGGTTCTCCTATTTTGTGAAAGGCGCTCACTGGGCTTATGCAGCAAAGCCAAGGTTCTGTCAAAATTCTTTCTCTCCCACTTTATCTTTCCAAGCTTGTAACTTCTTGGGGAAATGCTTTTCCCTCAGACAAGTACAGGCTATTTATCTGCTTAATGTCCTAGAGAACTTCAGACATGTTATGAGTTTTATAGCTGTTTTGTAGCCATATTAAAAGCAGTATCATGGATATGGATGAAGGTTGCAGAAGATGTGTGTGTGTGTGTGTGTGTGTGTGTGTGTTGTATTTTAAAATAGAATTTTTAACAATGTAATACTTTCTTTTTCAGATTGTGGGTCCTTCTGATGGTTCTAACTACATAATAGATTACTATGGTGCAAGGCTTATCAGGCTGAGTATTACGAATGATACATATAGAAAACCTCAAATGTACCCTTAATCTTGCCGGTAAATTCCTTAATCTGAATATCAAAAATGTTGTCTTTGACCAATCAACTTATTTTTGTCAAATAGAGAATACTTTATATCAGGGGTGGGCAGCTATGGCAAGCTTTATTACCTGTGGACTTCAACTCCCAGAATTCTTGAGTTAGCATGGTTGCCTCAGGAATTCTGGGAGTTGAAGTCCACAGGTGGTAAAGTTGTCATAGTTGTATACAAAGGGATAAAATAATAAAGCTATTTCCTTTCATTCCCTTCAGTTATGATTTCTGAAAATCTGTAAAAATAACTTAAGTTGGAATGAGCTAAGGGAATTGACACAATCTTGTTACAAGCCTTTTCAGTGTGGTTCTTGCCGGCTTTTTGTCAAAATTGGTGACTATCTCCACTTACATACATATCCATCCTACACTAATAGATTATTTTTTCAGTGGAGATGAATTTATAATATAATGGAAAATAACATAAAAAGGGCCTAAAAAGCAAGAAAAATCATTTCTGCATAGATATGTGTTCTCTGATAAAATTGATTTTGAATTATCTTTTTAACAATTCTGAAAAACATGTTTTATTCTTATATCGATGCACAATCTATGAACAAAATGAAATTGTCCATATTTATGAAGAAATATTTTAAACATCAGGTTTGGAATGTAATGTATAGTAGTGGCAATTTACAATATTTAATTTATATCCCACTTATATTATTTTTTTTATAAACAACTCAAGGCATAAAAAATATCCAATACCCCTTGCTCCTCCTATTTTCCTCACAACAACCATGTATGAAAAGTTAAGCTCTGAGAGAAAGACTGGCCCAAGGTCACCTAGCCTGCTTTCATGCCTAAGGCAGGATTAAAACTCATGTTCTCCTAATGTATAGCCTGGTGTCTGTTGTCCCATGTATTCAGCTCTTGTGTTGGATATAAAATTAAAAACACAAAAATGCTAGAAATTGTTTTCCAGATATAACAATTCAAGGAAACGCAATACAGTAAATCCTTTTCCTTGTCACTGAAAAACAAAAACAAAAAGATATTTTAAATGTTGATAATTACATGCTATTAGAGCACAGCTGCCAATGTTGTACAATCATTATTTTTACTCTTCATATTTTTGATTTGTAATGTCAAAATAGTGAAACATAGCCAGTGTGTGTACAAAATATCCAGAACTTGCAGTGTTTCACTCTTTTGATCATGGGTTAAAAGGTCATATATCCATAAGCTTTATTTTATGTTTGGACATTTTTAAGTTATCCAAGCCCTGAAAATTTAAATACTGTGTTAGCCAGTAAACTTTAGTCATGGACCAACCCCTGTTGTCATTGGCCTGAAGTTGAAAAGGTAGATAGAGACAAGGGAAAGGCCAATTAAACACATGTTCAGAAATCAAGAATCATTTCGGAAATAACAAAAGGCTGACTGACTGCCCAATAACCTTAAGTGCTACTTTTAAATACTTTGTTATGAGAAGTCATCATTCATGGTTGATTGGAATGTTATCATCCCCTTTCTTTGCAAGCTGCGCTTTCTTTTCAGAAAAACTGCCAGGTTCCAAAAAATAGTTATAGATGGGCTGCTAGGCTTTTGAATGGTTGAATTTCTAAATGCAACAATTATTTTATCTGTATTGAAATTTGCTGTCAGCCTGTTAAATCCAAAAGAAAAAAAATGTGCTCTGTGCATGTACTTTTTTGTATTTGGGGGAAATACTTTTCAAATTATTGCTGTCATTCCTTTGCAGTCTGATAGCAAAATGAATTCTTAACTGTTGCTTCTATTGTTTAGTATGGGAGAAAAAAATTAAGTATAATGTTTTAAAAATTACTTTCTGGGTTAATTTTTCTGCGTCTAGATGAGAAGCAGCACTCAGCATGGACTACCACCTTATCTTATTATTTTTTATTGTAGGATACCAATATTATTTTGAGTTCATTTTGTTCCCTATAAACTACTAAGATTGGAACATTAATTCCCAGCATATCTTTAAAGAACATATGTATCTTTAATGAACAGCAAATAGTGTTGAAGTCATGCTGTCAGCTTTCAGATCAAATAAGGCATTTGTATGAGATACCTAAAGACCTGATTTAATGTTCCAGTTGTAGAATTGGGTCTCCAAATGCAAAGCAATTGTAAATAAAGTATTGACAGATTTTTCTTATGGTCCTTCTCAGTCTTTTATCACGTGCAAAAATGACACAATTTAAGTTCAACATGAAGTCATATTTTCAAAATAAAGTTACCCCTTACCCTACTTTGATAAGGCAATTGTAGTAAATATGTTATAACTGCCAGCGTGCATTAAAGGCTTTAAATGTATTTTAAACGTGATAAATATCTTCACCCAGGAACAGAATCTGCACTTAAGTGGTGAAACTCATGAGATATTAATTATAGTTATCTTTATTTCAGTAAAGCTCTTCAATCCATTAAGTGTGTACGTAAGCTTTTTGTTACAGTGGGCTGAGGTATTTGTTATATAGCTATGGCAGCTACATTTTAAGTAATATTTTTCACACTATTAATCTGGATTGAATTAGCCAGCACAGTATTAGCTCAATTTCAGAACTTGGAATAGACTATAACGTTCAGTGTGGGTTTTTGGATGGCCACTGAATATTACAGTCTATCCCAAGTCCTGCAATTAAGACTTAAGTTATACTATGTAAAATCTGTAAAAATAAAACAGAATGACACACCTTCCAAGGCACACCTGGTCATTTTAGAGCCCATGGACCACATCCAACCCATAGGCGATCTTGGTCTGGGACTTGGGGAACAGGGCATTGGCAGCATTGGGGGCATGGTATGGGCATCGGGAGTGGGACATCAGTGCAGTATTGGAGGTGGGTGGCACTACCAGCATTGGGGATAGGTGGGCATGGCCTTCCACAGCAGTCCCAGTGTGCCATGTGACCCCATGGGAAAATGAATTGCCCACCCCTGTTCCAAGGGAATTTTTGGTAAGGGTTGGAGCTGGGGAGACTGATTCTCATGCATGGAACACCAAGGTCAGGAATGTTGGCATGAAAAAGTGAGAGTTAGAGATCCATGTTTCAAACATACATAAACGAAAGGATTACTCTGTGGTGCTAGATGAAAGATATACGTACAGCTTCCCAGTTTTCTGCAGTAAAGTTTACTTGTTGAGTCAGCTCTAGAAAAGTGGACTGGCAAGAGAATACCTTGCTATACTTCAACATTATTGAATAATGTGGCCACCGTGTATGCCATTTACATTTTTGATAATTATATCCCTACATATCTATGTATTCTGTAAATGGATAAAGGCGTTACTGTACTAGAGTATTCCAAATAATGTAGATGAATTTGCTCACCACTAGTAGCCATATCAGTATTGTAGTTATTTGAGTTGTAGTTTGGAAGACAGTAAGAAACAATGTTTTTCCATACAGTGGATATGCCTAATATTAATTATGTTCTCTTAGTGAATCAAGCTATATCTGGATTCATAAATGTTTATACAGCTTTTAGCAAAACAGTTTGGTTTGATCCCCTCACCCTTAGATCTCCCATAGGTATCTATGTCTAACTATCACCTATTACTTAGTATTTGCATTGTTCCGCTCAGCAGCAATGTCTCTTTTATCCCATGCTGATCACTAAGACCAAGAAAGCTTCTGCTTAAACCAAATTCTCATTCAAGACTGAGGCTTTAATAGCAGGAAGAAATAGTGAACTTTTAAAACCCAGTTGTGCATTTTGAATGTTTTATTGCTAAGTTTTGCTTCAGTGGTAACATTACATACAATCCACCTATTTTTTAATTTTTTTGTGACATATCTATGGATTTCTTACTTATTCTTTATTATTTCTTATTTATACTTATTCTTTATCGGACGTTATGTAAGCTTAAGTGTTGTTTAATAGTTCATTGCATATATTAAAAAAGAATGCCTGCTTTCAGAATCGTGTGTGTGTGTGTGTGTGTGTGTATAAAGTTTCAGCAATTGCATATAAAACATCATTTTCCTAAATTGTGTTTGACAATTCTGGACATCAGAATCTATTAATGAAATTGCTGTGTAAATCCTCTTCTGAAGAATTTGCTTTATCCCTCTTCAAAACTGGATGTTTATATGGCTGTACAACTGTTACCTTTATACAGAGTAGAACTACATTGTTTATAAGAATGGAGTTATGTTCATTTTCAACCTCTCCCTCAGACAAGAATATAAAAAATACTTTTATTTGTTTTATGATTAACAGGGAAAAGTTTTGGCTTTCAGTTGATTGATTTTTAGTATGGTAATTATTCTAGCAAAGTCTGCTTTTAACCACAGTATATGTTCATGTCTAAGAACTGGAAAAATTATGTTTTTCCTTTGCACAATTCATTATTTTCTATCTGCAAAAGCACAGCCAAAATATGTGAGTATCCATCTAATACAGTCTCAGGTTTTGGACTATTTTTGTAATGTTATCTCCACTGATACCAGTTTTCAAGGAAAACTTGCTCCATTTAAATGTTTCATGTAGACAGCTTTCTTAGTTCTGCCTTCAAACCTTTAACCTGAAAATGTCAGTATCGCTAACCCACACTGCCTTGCTTAACAGAATAACAGAGTTGCAAGGGAACTTGGAAGTCTGATATTCCAACCGCCTGCTCAGGCAGGAAACCCTATACCATTTCAGACAAATGGTCGTCCAATCTCTTCTTAAAAACTTCCAGTGTTGGAGCATTCACAATTTCTGGAGGCAAATTTTCCACTGATAACTTGTTCTGTCAGGAAATGTCTCCTTAGTTCTAGGTTGCTTCTCTTCTTGATTAGTTTCCATCCCATTGCTTCTTGTCCTGCCTTCAGATATTTTGGAGTATAGATTGACCCCCTCTTCTTTGTGGCAGACCCTTAGATATTAGAATTGCGATCATGTCACACACACCCAGTCCTTCTTTTCATTAAACTAGACATATCTAATTCCTGCAACCATTCTTCCCATGTTTTAGCCTCCAGTCCCCTAATCATCTTTGTTGCTCTTCTCTGCACTCTTTCTAGAGTCTCAACATATTTTTTTACATTGTGGTGACCAAAAATAATCTCTATACTAAGTACAAACAGGACTGTCTCTGCCAGTCCTTGACAGCTCTATCTTTTGTGCATAGGTTAAATGGGAGAAAGGTTTAATACGTATTTATATTATCTCTATAGAACTTAGTAAACTTGTTGGCTAGGTTGATATCATGTCATGAGGTTTCTTTATATATGTTGCTCTATTAAAGGCTTCTTTGAGTGTGGCAGGTATGCAGGCACATGGCCTTCTAAATTCTGCTTTGTAATTGGGGTAAAATAAGTAATATTCAATTAGTGTGTGAACAACTGAAAACTGAACTAAAGTACATCATTCAAGAGTATTCTATTGCAGCGTTTAAAATGAGATTTTGTAACTACTGCATTTCCTTTGTTTCTTTCAAAGAAAGTGGCCTCAGGTGTCTAATGTCCCAGTTCACGTCTAATATATCAAGGGTCGGCAGTAGTTTTAAACACTGTAGATATACCAGTAGAAGAGAATATTATAGCTCTGGGTTGAACTGTGGGGTCCTTGGTGCTCTTTGAGCTTGGCTGTTTTTGGATGCACTGATTATGTTAGCTAGTTTGGCAAGGAAATGTCTGCAGGAAACAGCCAAGCTCAGAGACACCAAGGACACTGCAGATATACCTTAGATCAGCAATTCTTAAAGTTTGGGAGTCCCCAATACCTTTTCATGGAGTGCACAAAGTAAAGTAAATATCTTTTTTAACTGTTCAGTTTAAATTCTAATATAGTAAGTATCAGAAAGCCAGTTTGGTCTAGCAGTTAAGGCATGAGGCTAGAACCTGGGAGATTGTGAGTTCTAGTTCTGCCTTAGGCCCAAAGCTACCTGGGTTTCCTTGGGCCAGTCACTGTCTCAGCCCTAGGAAAGAGGCAATGGAAAACTGTTTCTGAAAGCTTGCCAAGAATATTGCAGGGACATGTCCAGAAGTCTCCAAGGGTCAAGATAGACTCAAGGATGCTCCCACACAAATATCAGCAGACAAATCAAAGCTCTTTGGGATCATCAAGCATTTTTAAGAACATAAAAGGGTCATGAGACCAAACTGTTTGAGAACCACTGCTTAGATTAAAGATAGTGATATAAGCAAGGAAGAAAAACAAATATGTTTATTCAACATAGCTATCAAACTATAAATTTGCAAGCAGTGCTGGAAATGTGTTTGAAGTATGGGGTGACAATGTCAGAGGAAAATTCCTTTGGGTGTCCATTGCAGAGTAACTTACCTGAGTATAGAATCTTACAAAGTAAAATAACGGATAAAACAAAATTGAAGACAAACTAACCTTCCTTCTTGATAATATGGCATAACTGCTGTTCAAACTCTGTATAACAATCCTTTATTTTGCTATTGCAAGGGGGAATAAAGCTGTACAATCCTAAACTTTTGGGCTGTGCTCTGTGTACTTGCCAAGGAGGAAAAAAACTTTAAATGCATTCTCATCTACTTTAGCTACGCATATATTTTATGGCTGATCTTTTTTTTTCCTCCAGGAGTTCACTTACTTTATTTGAGTGTGAGAAGATGCCTGTGTATGAAATGATGGAAGAGCGCCGTCTTCAGAGGACTAAGAAGTTTCATCAACTCTTTTGTCATCAGCTCTTTGTACACAAAGGAAAACTAGTAGGCTGTATAATTATACACTCTGCTGATCACACAAAAGGAGTTAGAGCCTTTGCGCCAACTGCAACCTTATTGAAAAGGAGACAATGACTTATCTTTTAAATTGTTTGGTAAATAAACGCAACCGATGGACTTCTAATGATGAATGCATCATGAAGCACAAAGGACTTTATGCAAGTTGTACAAAAACTGAATAGTGTGTAAAGGGAGAAAACAGGAAGAAATTACCTCAACACTCAACATCCCTTTTCTGACTGCTATTTAAAAATAAGCAAAGTAGAAGTCGCACTCAAAAATGTGTTGTTATGCAGATGTACCAGGTTCCAGCTCATTCACTCCCTTCGTCCCTCACATCAAGTACATTCTGTCCTTTTGGCAATAAGTGGATGGGATATTTAGAAGCTGCGAACTGTTCTGAAAGTTTCACATAGTGGGTTATGGGCCATGTGTGTTTGATCAAAATTCAATTACTGCACTGCACCAGGCTTGGAAACCTATCATTGCGAGTTATGAAGTATGACGAAATAAGCTTCTCTAATTGGTTCAGTATGGGGAGCAGTCTCAACCAAGCTTGTTATGATAAATAGCTTCCTATGTTAAAGGTTCTCCAGAGCTTAAGTGTCTTGGCTCACCTCCTTCAACAGAATAAGAATATTGTTCCCTAGGAACATTTACATCATTGTCTCTTTTCCCAGGTTGGAGTTAAATATTTGTAGCATTTTTATCTTGAGGAATAAAAACATAGATTCTTGAGGAATCTAAACATAAATATACGTCACTTCTCCAATCATAAAATATCTTGTGTCCCTGTGCACAACTGGTTATTGGCAATGTCACTTTTGTCAGCTTGGAAAATCTTAGCTGTTGTTTAAAGTCAAATCCACTTTACAAGCCCTTTTAAAAAAATGATTGAATGCTCTGCAACTCCTAGCTTAGATTTGCCGCTACTAAAACTGTTCCACACATGGATTTTTTTTTTTTTTTGTAGATTTCTGTTATGGAAATAATCTCTGATTATCCTCTTGTAAGCAAACAAAGGTAGAACTAGAAAACTCAAGTTAGTATACGCGTCTACATTGTGGTGTTTCAGATGCATTTCACTTTGAGAAAGTGCCATTTCACTTTGAGAAAAAGGTATAAAGTGTATTGTTTTTCTGTTTCTTTGGTTAAGAAATTAGAGAAATTTAGTAACTTGTCTTGTGGAGCTCAAATTAGTTATCTGAATAGGTCATTTCTTTTTTCCTATAGTAATTTAATAACATTGTTATCCAGGTTTCATTTGTTTTATGAGCTTTGATCTCATCATAGTTTGCCTTTATATTTAAATGTCCTTTTTAACCTTCTGCCAAAAGATGTGCGTAACGCTGAAGTCGGCATTTTCAGCATGTACTACATTTGCTGCAAAATTTCAATTTTATAAACCATTCCCCTTAGTCATCACTTAATCAAGTGATGACTAAGTGCAGCAATACAAAATTAAAGGAAGGGAGGAAAACTTGACACAATAAATGTAAAATCTACTTCTGGGTAAGATAAGAAACACACACTCCCGTTATTTTTCAAAGTAGAATGGGATCAAATATTTTAGAATGGGTGATAAGGAAAGATACATAATGGACAATATCATTAGCTTGGGCAGATGATGCTTTTTTTAAGAACAAAACTCAGAAGAATATTGTATTACATTTTTAAACAATTCTGCAAGAAGTAACTTTACCTTTAAAAATAGAATATGATAGCAGACATTTATGCTAAACCTCCTTCTGGCAAATCAGCTTTTTTTTTATTGAATCTCAGTTGATTGAATAGCATAGGGGTTGCCAGAGTAAATGCTATTATCAATGTACAGTAATTAAGGAAATAGTCCTTATCACTCGAACAGCACCCAGGCTATGCCTGCTGTAATAAAGTTAAATGATAAAGAAATATCTTTAAATAAAGTGCAACTACTAGAGTGTGGTTACTCTTGAAATGCAGTGGAACAATGCAGTGGAAAATTACTGGTGATAGGAAAATATGCCCACTGAATGCAATGTAAGGGCTTCTTAAATATCGAAGTAAATAATACACATAATCTTCCAATGTAAAGATAAAGATGTTAATCCCTCATGTTCAAAGAGTGACAAGCTTGGCACATGTTAATCTTGTATTTGATCTTCAAATTATTAATTAATTGAATCATTAGAACTTAGAAATGTTTTGAAACCTATGTATAAGATGTACAAATTGAGTGTTGTCATTTGCTTATGGATTAAGATCCTATACATTTTATTATAAAGTATCAATACCTTCAATCTTAAGGCCACCTGAACCTGATATGAATTATAATACAATGTTTCTTCCAAGGTTAGGCCTTCCACTTGAAAAAAAAAATTCTTCCATCATTATAACTAACCATGTCTTAGTTGAAAAGATAACTAACTGGACGTCACGTAACTAATAGGACATGATCTTTGTACCAGTAAACATAAGCTTACAGCTTTGCAAATTTTTTGAGATGAGGATGGCATTAAGACATATTCTGAGGGCTGTATCTGGGAAATGTAGATGCCCAAGGAATGAGTAATTCAGGGTAAAAAGCAAGGGTGTGTTGTGCTAATGCAGAGGTCTCAAAACGTGGCAACTTTAGGACTTGTGGACTCTGGGAGTTGAAGTCCACAAGTCTTAAAGGTGCCAAGTTTGGGGACCCCTGTGCTAATGGAATACCACACGGCGAAACATTTACAGTAGATGTCATAGAAGTGATTCCAAGATGTGTTTCTTAAAATATCTATGACTCTTCTGAAATTGTTTAGCTTCTGCAAAAAGAAGAGAGGAGTCTAGGTTTCTGAGAATGGTGCTTGGGCCGCAGCTTCCACCTGAGAGACTATGGAAGAAAGTAACCTGAATCTCATCTGGCATTAGCTAGATTTTCTACAGACTCTGTTCTTGAAGATACATCTGCATGCAGGATTTTTATTTTCTTTTTGTGGGATTCTTCATGCTGTGTTTGCATGAAAGCAAAGGCTTTGGTATAGCAGGTTGCATTGAGATTTGCTAAAGGTCAGCTGCCTAACCTTCCAGCTGAAATTTGATACTCTGCCTAATGGAATGAATAATCGTAATGCCATTTCCCCTTCTTTGTAGAAAAAAATTGCCAAGGACCTGGTTCAATTCCCTAAACTAAGTTTCATAAATATTTATTTTATTCTTTATTCTGTTTATTAATGTTACCTGTTTTTTTATGAAGCCAGAAATGGATCTTTTCTCTACTGAATTACTCCTAAGATTTGATCTTTTTTGGGGTGTATGCTCCTTGGGGCAATCTATATGAGAGCATTATGCTCTTGGAAATATGTATTCCTTAATAAATCAAATTACGTGTTTTAAAACAGATTGTAGTAATTTACTAAATATTATTCATACTTTATGCTGGTATTAATGTTAATGGATTACTAGCATTGATATGTTCATCTAGTGCCATATTGTGGCTTTGACCATTTCCAGAGCATTTTGGCAACTGAACATGAATAACGAATCATGTGCTGACAACTAAGGTGGAGAAACCTTTTCCTTCACTTCGTACTTGCCATGGGCTCAGATGAGCGTGAAAATATAATGGCAACAGAGCTTAGAATCTTATATCACTCCATGATACTTTACAGCCCTCTCTGAGTGGTTTACAGAGTCAGCCTATTGCCCCCAACAATCTGAGTCCTCATTTTACCTACCTCAGAAGGAGGGAAGGCCGAGTCAACCTTGAGCTGATCAGGATCGAACTCCTGGCTGTGGGCCAGGTTTGCCTGCAATACTGCATTTTAACCACAGCGCCACCACAGCTCTTAAGACGTATTTCCTCCGTTCACACATTATTATAATTCTCTTCTGTTGTGATACAGAATACATCGTAAGAGCAATAGGTTTAATCATGAAAAGTAATATTCAGAGTTGTTTATTCTGGTAAAAAAAAATCGCTACAGATTTTCGTTTTTGTACTACAAACATACCAGGTTCAGAGATCCTAAATACAACTATGAAAACCTTTAAGGACTCTAGCTTTCAAAACAATTCCAAACCATATGTTGTTAAGTACATGTTTAGGCTGATTATTTTCAATTATGTATTTTCAGAGGTTCTTGTAATTCAGTGCTGTACACTGCTATTGAAGCAGGTGTGTGTGTGTGTGTGTGTGTGTGTGTGTATAAAATACACGGAGCACAGTGGTAACTACTATTAGAACTGGTGGGGTGGCAAAGTTTATATACAGAATTAAAGGTAGAGCAAGTTGACCTTCAGCCCAAAACAGAGTTGGAAGAATGCCTTTGAGATGAGCACAATACAAAAATAGGCTTAGAAGTTGCATTTATAAATGCAAAAGGGCAAAGTGAACCAGACACTCTACAATATCATGACTTGGGACATATCATGAAATAACTCTCTGGTAATTAGGTTAATGAAGTTCTTAAAGCATTACCCAATCTTGTGCAGAAGTTTGGGGGAAAAAAGTGGGTGCTTGAATAGGTGCTGTACTCTCAAAGTACCTCAGAATTGTTTTCAAAGAGTGTCTGGGCCATTATTTATCCTAAAAGCAGCTAGCCTTAAAAGAGACTGGGCTCACACAAGGTCAAATCAGCACTGTTTAACCCTTTGATTGTTAAGACATAATGAGTTCACACATCACACATAGGCCCAACAATGGCACCACATAATAGTATAACGTTCTGTGTGGATTGGCAAAAGGTAAGCAGAATTTATGAAACTGCAGTGGCTAGAGGGAAAATAGTTTAGGTCTCTTCGTAGCACAGGAATGAGCCTTAAGGTTTACATTATATTAATCTGAGAGCAGATGCCTTCTTTTCTAGAGTTACAAGATGCACCTATTTGTTATTTCAAGGGCAAAAGAAACACTCATCTAATTAAAATTGAGGTGGTAGCTTTTGGCCTTATTTCTTCAGTAAAGATAATTCTAAAAGAAGAATGTTGACTGTCAGCCACAATAAGTGCTGTTAGAGTAGTGAGCCTACTGTTAGGCTCACTTTCCACCTCACCAACAAAACAAGCACACAATATAATAAACATTTTTTTTAAAAAAAGAAGAAGATGGAGTGAACTTTATTCATGATATGTTTTCCTTGCACAGATAAGATTCAAGCAGGTTCACTGGGTTTTCTCAATATACTATCAAACTGAAATGATTCCTTCCAACTGCTACAACTCTCCTAAAGATTACACAGCAGAAGAAACACACAAGCAGAAATGCAGTAGAAATGGTTTATTCCATTTGCTGTTGCTGCACTACTTGCTAGAGGAATGACTGGAGCTTTAGAAGCAAATGAGGGGAGTAATTTTCCATGAATGAGTATGAAAGTGGAGCTGGAGCAAGCATAAGTCTGAAGTTCGGTGTTTGTGTATTTAACTCTCATATTAATATTTTTGAGACAAAAATGCATTTATGGATATCTGCATTTAAGGCAGTAATAGATTGAAGGTAAATCAAGAACTGCTAAGTGATCTCTTCGTAGGGGCAACAGACATTTCTACCTTTCAGTTCTTAATGGTGATAACAATGATAAAATTTGGCTGTTAAAATGAAGGTAAGTGAATGGCACTTTGTATGCTGAATTTGTACAGGTGTGTTTTGCCACCTATTTTTCATCTAACTCTTATTTTGCACCTTACACATTAAATGTCAAAGAGAATTTTGCAGGTTTCAAGGTCTTTATTAACATCCATAATATCAGGATCTTAATCTTCATCTTTGGATCAGTGGTGGGATTCAATTTTTTTTACTACCGGTACTGTGGGCGTGACTTGGTGGGCGTGGCAGAGGAAGGATACTGTAAAATCTCCAATCAGAGGTGGTATTTGCGGGTTCTCCGAACTATTCAAAACTTCCACTTCCAGTTCTTCAGAACTGGTCAGAACCTGCTGAATACCACCTCTGCTTTGGATCCTTCAGTAAATATCTTTTTCTCATTAGCACTACTCAATTCTGTTAGAGATTTTCTGGATTAGTTGGAACCATCATTTAGTGCGAGAGTATCTAACCTTGGCAACTTTAACACTTGTGGACTTCAAATCCCAGGCTGGGGAATGCTGGGAATTGAAGTCCAAAGGTCTTAAAGTTGCCAAGGTTGGCTACTCCTGGTTTAGAGCCAATAGGAAATTAAATTTGCTGGATTTTTCCTTCTGTTCAATGTAAATTCACATTTCTTTCTAAAGTATTATTAAAAATTCTATGTTACCTTTTGCCAGTCTGAAAAACTGATACTTTCTCAGGTCTTAGTCCAGGTATCATTTTAAGTTTTAAAGACAAATGGTGTAGCACAGAGGGTGGGGGGAAAACATCTTTAACTGAAATAGTAACTACAAATAGGGCTATTTATTCAAATGAACTATTGGACATATATTAGCTCATCTCTGTGAACAGACATGATCCTACCTGATCCCATTATCTAAGGATCAAAACAATGGTATCTATGTAGTTACATTGGTCTGTAGCATATAATATTATTTTGTTTGGGGGTGGGATAGTGCAATCCATTTAATAATGAAAGACAATCCTGGTCATATTTAGCTTCCTTTCTTTTTTTTCTCCAGAGTTTTTGATAAATTGATTAGGGGTCATCAAGTCAGTGTTGGTTCTTAGCAATGGCTTAGATAGATTTTTCTCCATGGTGATCTGTCCCTAATCTAGTCTTTTATGTCTTTAAATAGTCTACCCATTGTTTCTGTAATTGAATTGCTGGTCATCCTCTTCTCTTTCTTTTCACTTTCCGCAGCATTAGATCCTTCTCTAAAGAGGTTGCTCTTCATAGGATGTGTCCAACGTAGAATAATTTGAGCCTGGTCATTTGTACTTTGAGTCAGAACTCAAATTTGTTTGATGATCAATGCTTGCTTATTTTCCCTCTAATTTTTCTCCATCATGAACATGATAAGTAGTCACATTTGGAATTACATGGATAGGTCTAAAACAACAGTTCCTCTAACTTCTAACAAAGCCATGTAACTCCTCACCAAGTCATTTTTTTTAAATAGGACAAGAGGGTTGAAGCTGCTTTTAATCATGTACTGGGTTTCAAGGCTGTTTGACTCCAAAAAGATTCTGGGAAACTTGCGGTTTTAAAAATAATATTCATCTTTTTTTTTAAGGAACTTTTGCCACCCAAACAAAAACCCTGAAGGATGGACGGATGGCCAGATGAATGGCTCTTAGAAGGAATGCTATTTCCATATGTCAGGCAGGACTCCTGCGTCCCATAAAATGATATTGTTTTATTGAAAATATCCAGGATATGCCAATCTAGATCTTATTGAATAGGGAAAAATTATAGCATATGGGTAGTCTGGCAAACATCCAGACCTGTAAACTATAAGGGGCTTTGAGAGGTGACAATCAGCACCTTGGATTGGCCCCAGAAGCCAATCAACACCAACTTCATTTCATGGAATAGAGAACTCACATGAAAGTATCAAAGGGTACCTACAACTACTCATGCTGCCACATTTTGGACTAGCTACACCTTCCAAGTGGTGTTAAAGAACATGTCAGCAATCCAAATGAGAGGTGACACCTAAATGATGGTGGATTTGTGTGAAAGCCACACACACACACACACACACCTGCATGCTTCAACTCAAGCAAATTATGATAATGTTCTTCTTCCTATAAACGATGCAGTTCACTCTGCATCGATGCAGAAAACTCAGGTCAAATTAGACATTAACTTTATGGATGTTATTAATCACAGATGGGCTTTTAAAGTTTTGATCTGGCTCACAGCATACCTCTCCCCGCCTCCTAACCATTATTCAAGTGCTCACTGGTCGCATGAAAAAAATTGCTTAGGAGGATAATAATAATAATAATAATAATAATAATAATAATAATAATAATAATAATAATAATAATAATAATAATAATAATAATAAT